CCCGGTTTGGGGCCAGACGATCCCAGCACAATTTGCGGGGGGGGGGGGGGGGGAGGGCTTTCAGGCCTTCAGGGCATTCACCCCTTCCGGATTGTTCACGAAAACAACAACAACAACAACAACAACATGAACAACATCTTCTACCCCAAGCTTTCACAATTGCAAGTTATGATTCATCATGTACAAACATGAATTCAAACCCGAAAAACCACTTAATTTTTCTCACTTTCAGAATATTCATCTGTGAATATTCATCTATGTGATAACCATTTGTGGAGCAGGGAAGGGTTCGACCTCCAGGAGCGCAGACGACAGGCCACCCACTCCCAGGAACTCTTGCGTCTACTGTAGAGGGGATGATCATATCAAGAGAGACTGTCCGGATCTCAAACGGGCAATAGATGAGGGACTTGTCGTGCTTGATGACCGCAAGTACGTCAAGTGGGCAGATGATCTGGGAGACGTATCGATGTTCCCTTCGATGAAGGAGAATGTTGAAGCAAGGAGAGTAAAGCCGAGTAAAGAAAATGAGCTGGTTAGGAGCCAGAGCATCAAGATAACTTTCAAAGGAGATATGGCAACCACACCCATAAGGGTGGCAGCTACCAAGTCGGCGAGAGGGTCTACATCGAAGAAGACTGACACGGATTACGTGATGGCGGAGAAGGACGGACAGCGGATCGATGGAAAGGATGTAATTCTTTCACCGCGAAAGCGGGGAGTGAAGAAGTTCTTGATGAAGAGTTCGCTGGATGAGATTGACACGGTCGAGCCACTGAGACGGGCCCTTCGGCAGCCCATGCAGTGCTCAATTCTGGAGTATCTGACAACATCCAAGCCAGCTGGCGACGAGTTACAAATGATCACGCGGAAGACTCGCATACCTCTATTAGAGGAGGTTCAGATGACCCCTAAGGCGGATGCTCCTACCGTCGCAGTATCGGAGGTGACTGCTAGAGCAGATCGCATGGCGACAGTCCTTCTTGATGGGATGGAAGGTGTGCCTCCAGACAAGTTTTACATACTTGGAAGTGGGACCGTGGAGGCGATCCTAAACGACGGGGCGGTTCTAGATGCTGTGATCGATAACGGCAGTGAGGCTGTCATTATAGACGAGGATCTGGCAGAGCAAGTTGGACTGAGACTCGATAGGTCATACTTATTCGAGATAGAGACGGTCGATGGTAGAAAGCAACAAATCACAGGGGTTTGTCACAAGGCAGCCATAGAGGTCCAAGGGGTACGAGTGACCCTGACAATCTTTGCAGTCAAGAACTGTAACTCTGACCTGCTTTTGGGACGGACGTGGTTGAGCCACGTGCATGCGGTGACGATAGAGCGACCGGACGGTAGCCAGACATTGTCCATTAAGAAGCTAGATGGGACTCGGGTTATGATTGAGACGGTGGAGCCTCGAGACCCGAGGAACAAAGCAGCTCTCGCTGTGGGTGCGGGACCCGGTGATTAGATTAAGTCATTACCTATCTCCGGCCACGCGGTGCGGTTGCGCGAGAAGAAGTATGGACCACTGCTCACAGAAGAAGAAGGCCGGATTGTAGAGGTGGAAGATTTAGGGAGTCGGCTGATAGTGGACGGCAACGCGTATCCAAATGAGGAATTTGGCGGCGTGGTATCTGTGTCTTTTTTAAGGGCACGACCCCTATGGGGCCCTATGGGGGGCTACCCAAGCAACACAAGCGAGTAGCTCAGAAAGTTAAGCCAGCGGCGGTGGGCCGCGAGCGATCTGCATTGGAAGGGATATCGGAAGAAGAGATCGCAAAGGAAATCAAAGAAAGAAAGAAAAAGGAGCCGCAACACCTAACGAAAGAGAGAATAGCAGGGATGAACATCGGAGATGGAAACTTGACCCCTAAGGAGCGGGAACGTGTGATAGAGATCTTAAAGACGTACGATAAGGCTATAGCCTTCAGCGACGCAGAGCGTGGTAGGGTTGACCCTCGTTACGCAAAGCCAGCAAGGATTTACACGATTCCACATGTTCCATGGAATGACGCAGGATGGAAATACGCCCTGAAGGAGAAGGAAGAGGTTATCGCTTTCCTGAAAGAAAAGATGGTTTCCCACGTTGCGGAGCCGTCTGATAGCGCTTATGCTAATCGATGGTTCTTCCTACGAAAGCCGAATGGCAAGATCCGATGGATCCAGGACCTTCAGAAGGTCAACGCGGTGACGATACGAGACGTGGGTTCCGTGCCACACGCTGACTTACTGGCTGAAGGCGCTGCGGGCAGGTCGATTTATTATGTCTGTGATCTGTTCTCAGGCTATGATGAGGTACCGCTTGATCCCAGGGACAGGCACCTCACGACTATACACACGCCATTGGGACTGATACAGATGATGGTCGTCCCTATGGGTTGGACTAATGGGGTAGCCGTTTTTCAGAGAGCCATGGTGGCCGTCCTCAGGGACTTTATTCCTGACAAGGTTGAAGTTTTTCTGGATGACTTTCCTATAAAAGGACCAGTAAAGAAAGATGAGACAGAGGTCGTGCCAGGGGTTAGGAGATTCGTCGAGCAGCACCTGACCGATATTTGCGCGATACTTGAGCAGCTGGACAAAGAAAATTTGACGGTTAGCGGAACAAAGAGCCGGTGGACCAGCTCGACTATTAAGATCGTAGGCTTTATCTGCGACTCAAGAGGACGCCGAGCGGATCCAGCAAAGTTAGATAAACTCTGAAATTGGTCATCGTCGTTGCATAGCGCAACCGAGGTTCGTCAATTTCTGGGAGTGGTCGGTTACTGACGGATTTTCATACGGAGGTATGCGGAGAAGGCTGAGCCATTGAGGGTACTCCTTTGGAAGACTGAGAAATTCTACTGGGATTCTCCCCAGGAACTCGTAATGCAAGAGCTTAAAGATGAATTTAAGGAGGGAGGGCGCGTACTGGGCGTGCCATTCTTTGACGATGAGGCCGAGAGACCCTTCATAGTATCCACAGATGCTTGACCTTGTTCAATTGGTGGACTGCTATCTTAGAAGGACGCTGAAGGGAAGAAAAGTCTGTTAAGATTTGAGAGTAGGACACTTAATACAGCTGAGTGAAACTACAGTCAATTCAAGAAGGAAGTGATAGCTGTTCCACGGTGTCTAGACACATTCAGACACTATATCTACGGACGACGGTTCATCTTGAGAGTAGATCCCACAGCGGTTGCCTCTGTCCTCCAGAAGGACTTTAGTCTGACGGACCTGACTATCGCACGATGGTTAATACGGATCCGACTATATGATTACACAGTTGAGAGAATATCGGATACTAAGAATGCCGTGGCGGATGGGCTTTCTAGGATCCCTCTTGAGACTGAGCGCCCAATAGTAGCTGGAACCCTGACAATGGCAGAGCCGAGACGCGCCGATCGATTTCTGGTTAACCTTTACGAAGGCAAATATCGAACAATCGGGCTACGTTTATTAGGAGAGGAAAGTCAGGATTCAGATATTCGAAGACAAGCGGCCGAGTACTGCCTTAGAGCGGGCCATCTACTTCGAAGGCTAGTCGGGTCGGGGATGCCCCTACGAGTAGTCTGTGATCCTGAAGAGAGACAGACGATAGTTGCGGAGCTTCACGACGGGGTAGTCGGAGGTCATAGAGCAGTCAAAGGAACATACGAAAAGGTACGCAGACTGTACTGGTGGGAGGGACAGTATAAGGACATCGAGAGATATTGTATAACCTGCGAGGAGTGCCTGAAGAGAGCTTTTGTGAAATACAAAGAGCCACTTCATCCGTCCTATCCGACCAGGCCAAGAAAGAAGGTACACATTGATCTGGTGAAGATGCCAAAAGGAGTAGGCAATATGAACTACGTTGTGAACATATGAAACGACTTCACTGGTTCGTGAACGGTAGGCCTATCAGGAGTAAGACGGCAAAGGAAGTGAAGAAGTTCGTCCTAGAGTACTTGTCTAGGTATGGTTGTGTCAGCAAGATAATAATGGACAGAGGGGCGGAGTTTCTAGCTGCCGAGGTTCAGAGTGTGTTCAAGAGAGTCGGGGCGAGAGTTTCGATAGTCATCGCCTACCACTCATAACCGAACTCTCCAGTAGAAAGGAGACACCAGACTCTGATAGCGTCACTATCCAAGTGGTGCAAAGGTAAGGACAGTGATTGGCCACGATATTTTCGATACGCAATATGGGCGGACAACGTCACGGTCCGGGCTAGCACTGGATACCCGCTATACACCTTGTGGTTTGGGCGGCATTGTCCGCTCCCCATAGAGTTTCACGTCGACAGTTGGACAACCGTCGACTGGGCGGAAAAGATGTCCAGAGAGGAACTCATAGCCGCTTGAACAAGACAGATAGCCTGCGGTTTGGAAGACAACCTTATGACAACGGCATATCGTCTGGCAGTGGAGAGGGACAAAGGTAAGGAGAGATGGGATAAGAGCGTGCGGATCAGGAAAGAGAGGGTGAGCGTAGGAGATATGGTCCTTCTCTACGACGCAGCACTGGAGAGGACCTAGACCATAAAACTCGCCAACAGATGGATGAGACCTTACAGAGCGGTTGAGGCGCTCGACTGGGGTGCCTATATGATAGCAGAATTAGACGGATCCAAGTGGAAGGACCCAGTGGCAGGTGCTAGGTTAAAGTTGTTTAGACCCAAGCCAACACCCACCTTATTGCTGACAGACACGAAAGGGAAAGGGAAGTCCAAAATGGAGGATAGAGCCCCCTCGAGACGATTAGAGGCAGGGAAAAGTTCCAAGAAGAGGAAAAGAGTGGAGAGAAGAAAGGTCAAAGGGTTAGCATTGGGAAGGGAGAAGAAATGGTTATTCGTGCTCAAGAGGGCCAGACGGAGAGTTCGCATTAGACAAACTGGCGGGTCGGCCCCTTTTTCGGGCCAACGCTGGAAGAAAAAGAGGGTCCTACCAAGGCAAAAATCCCGAAGGAAAAGGAAAATCGAGAAACATCTTCTTAGCCCCAGAACTCATAACAAACTGAAACATAAGACGATTAAACGTCGACGAATCTACAAAAATTAATACTAATTATTTCTTTAATTTTTTCAAAAAGAAATATATCTATGTATAAATGTATATATATTCACTTAATAATATTCATATAATAGACAATATAATACTATCTATCTATTTAACTATCTATCTATCTATTTATTTTATATTCTCCTATTTTATTAGTATATATTTCTTTTATTATATTTTATTTTATATTATACTACTCAAATAGACATATATCACAAAAATAGAGATATCTATAGTATTCTAATAATATTCTACGTGGGCATCCTTTACGGGCAATCACCCTAAAGCTCGTCTGCTTCGTTTGACGTAAGTGGTTAGGGCTCGACGGGGGCGTCGAGAAGTGGTCCGGGCTAACTGTCAGGCGGCCACAAGCAGTGCGCCGCCTGAAATCTGCGGCTTTGGGACCTGGGCTCAGAGACAAGTCCGTGTTTTGACGGTACTCTGGTTGACCAGGTAGCAAAAATTAGGGGAACGTTGGACACCCCTAAATCTTGGCAAACTGAACCTTACGAGTAACCCTCAAAGATGGCGAAATGGGTGGCCGCACTCGGCACATCTAGGGACCGTTATTTCCGGCCGTTCAGAGGGTTAGACCCGGCTTGGCCTGCCGCGGAGAGGCATCGCGGGTACTGACCTCGCCGCGATGTTTTTTGCAGCATACGACCGGGGCCGAAATGAGGCTTTGAACTTTTGTCTATTTTAGTACCATAGTTAAAGATGAGGAAAAGGGATTAAGACCAGTAGGGGAGAAGAGAAAAACATAATATCCCTTAATTTCTTTATTTTTTCACGGCATTTAATTCTAGGGGGAATACCCTTGTTATTTTATGTTCCCGGCAATGAAATTAAAAAAACATAGAAAAAGATTAAAAATGGTAAAAGGAAAAAGAAACAAAAGGAATTCGACCATTTATTTAAACTTTCTCGGAATTTAATTTGGGGAATTTACGGTAAAATTACTAGTTCCGACAATAGAATTAAGGAAAAGGAAAAACAATTAAAAACGATGAAAGGGACCGAAACCCATGACTATTGGGAGATTGGTCTAATTTCGCCTCGATCACCCGCCATCAGCTTTGACCTCGGATTGATCATTTTCCCCGGATTCTAACAGTTCTCGGTACTGCAGACGGTCGAGGTTCCCTGCGTCGCGGTCCCTGGTCTGCTTAATTACTAACATTACCGCAGTTGGGATGTTCTGAGGACAGCATGGGGTGGTGCTACCTTGGGTCGAAAGTATGGTATTTGGCTCGGTACGGATACATGGTTCGAAGAGGTTCGGTATTTTTATGGAGTGGCTGCATCCTACTGTGTCTGACGTGCTTCCGGTTCGGTATGGGCCCGGTGACAGCTGTTTCATTACGGTGACTCATTTTCAGGTTTGGGACAGCTGCGGTGAATTATTCTCAGGACCAGGGCCACGACAACAGTTATTCCAGGTTTGGAACCTTGGCGGCAGTATGTTTTCAGGTCCGGAAACATTACGGCGTTTTATATCG